GGAGGAAACTGTCCCAGTAGAAATATAGGCCAAATACAGACGCACTATGTCAAAACTGTAAATTTTCACATTGTTGACCAAGTAGCTTAGGCTTTTAAAAGTCATCTTGACTCCCTTGGTGGCTTCCAATGATGCACAAGTATACCTGAGTTTTTTTTTTTTTTTCAAAGCCAGTCAAATTTAGCAGTGGGGGGGTGGTATACCAACTTTAGTGACACTAATGTTAATAAGTTCTGATAACCCACTGCCATCGGACCAGCGTATACCTGAGTCTTAATTGAAAAACTTGCAAGAAAGACAAAAACAAAAGGAAACTAATTTAATGGAAAACCTGATACTGTTTTTTGAAGTAAGCATGATTTTAATAGACTGCTAAATCAGGATTTAAAGGAGTCAATTACTAACTAAAGAACATATATTAATAGTCTTTCCTTCAGAATATTATTACATTCTTAAACTGTAGCATGTGAGCTGATGATATTTTAGTACTTTTATTTGTTTAAGAACAAAAACCATTTAAAGCTACTATTCTGGTGTTTTACTGCATTTCCAATGAAATATACAACTGAGATGATACACAGCTATAATATCTAAGGATAAATTATAAACTGTGTATTCATTTAAATAATGTCAGTCAAGATGTTTTACTGAAAGAATAAAAAATGAAAGTGTGTCAAGTCATGGAGATCTATGGAAAGATGACAGAAAACAGACAGTGTGACAGCCTAGCATTTGCCAGTTTGAGAAAAACAGAACATCCATTCTAGGAAACAACAATTGCTCAGCTGCAGCTTCTGAAAACTCAGTAAGATTCTACTAGAAGTACAGGTGATAAATGTCGTATGCTCTCTTTTGACTATAGTAGAATTTATTTTTTCACGATCCATTTCAAATATATGAAGTTGTACATGATGAAATGTGGTGGTCATCAGATTATATATTGTTTACATTACCTTCCTGACAGGGAACTAACACATTGCTATGATGAGAAGGCCAATATTTTACTGTAAAGAAAAAGCAGGGCATGCTCACATTCATAATTATCACACAGTTTAGCACCAAGTCAGAGCCAAGGTGTATGAGAGGAAAAAAGATACCAAGCCACAGAAATATTCCTTGGGTGTCAACCATATGAGTAACCACAGAGGTATGGCATAAAAAGCCTTTTCTAATCAGCTAGTTCTGGAAAGAGATGCAGGTGCTACAAAACCCAGATGGCCTTTCCCATGTGGGTTACATAGTTACCAGACTTCAAAAGTCAGTGGTCAGGGCTGATTTGGTAGAGTACAAAGAATAACCCGCTTCAAGCTTGGATTTAGGCAGGATGTGGGTGTAGGCATAGATACAGCAGCAGAGCTAAGATGGGGCAGATCAGATTAGTGCATGAAAGCAGGGCTGGTTTCACTAGAGAAAAGTAGATTGGTTTATTTTGTTACTAATCAAAAGCAAGGGTGACTTCTTTAAAATTTAAATGGAGGCTTGGAATCTAAGGTTCTGCTTCTGGGTGGACATTTTCCCTAGCCTTAAATTAGGTATGCTGTATTTTTCATAGAAATGAAACTAAATGGAATCCTTCATGGTTCAGATTTCTTTTCTCAAATAGCAATAAGTTGATATACTACTATTGCTAAACATCTGAGAACCTAAAAGTTGAAACATGTAACTATTTTTACATTATAGTTGGGTGCATGAAATGCATTTTATACAGACTCTCCAGTCTACTTTCCAGTTAAGGTTCATGGTTTAGTTTTGATCTAAGAAAACCAGATGCTTTCATGAGAACAGTTTCCTCAAGTGAAGCCAGTGAAAATCACAAATTTTCTCTTTTGTTTTGTTTAAAATTGAGAGAAAATATTGGGGCAGTTTGGGGAAGAGGAGGTAAGAATTTCTTAAAAGACATCACTCAATAGTAATTCACATTCTTGGCTAGCAGAGGAGGTGCAGTTTGTACAAATCCTGAGCAAAACAATTTGAGGTATTTATCCCCTCTTAAAAAAGGGATAAAAAGGATTTGGTAAGTAAATATGCTATTTCATTATATGTAAGAATTTTGTCCCATTTAAAACACTAGTTGTTTTTGAACTATAAAACTCAATACAGATTGCAGAAAATGTAACCATCACTGTCACTTGAAATATGTTCTGCACACCACTGAACTGAGATACAAAATGAAAAATATGCATTAGAAAAAAATGAAGAAAAACAGGCTTAGTTTTCTTAGGCAAATAGAGAGGTTTTTACATATGTAATCGTTAAATCTAAATGCCATATGCATATGATTTTATTAAGAAATAGATTCTATTTTTTCATTGATAAAAATATGTAAACTATAACAATAAGGGAAGTCTGTGGTTCTGGGAAACTGGGTGCACAAAATGTTATATAACTAATTGGTTTTCAACCTTCAAGTCAGACACTACTCAAGGAAATAATATGACCTTAGCCAATGGGAAAAACATCAAGTCAGATTTCTCCCAGCTGTGTTTCTCCCTTCTGTGGCCTTCAACAACTTCAATGGAAGTTTAGTGTGTTTAAGGAGAAAGACAGCCAGAAGAATCAAAATTACTAAACCAAAAAGGTCAGTCTTCAAATTAAATCTTGGATCAGGCCCACGGCACAATAACGTCTATGCTTTCCAATGTCCTGGTGCTACAAGCAATATGGCTGCCCAGCTACAACTCTAATGGAGCCGATATCTCATGTAATTGAGGATATCCTGCCAAAGGAATGAGTAAAAGAAAAACAGTTGCTAGCTTTGAAATGTAGAAACCAAGGTATTAGTGTTTCCTTAGCATTCCTTTTGATTTCCAACTCAAGTTTATGGTAACTGCAAGAGATAGGAAAAAAATCCTCAGAGGAGACAGGTCCTTGGATTTAATTCCATATAAACAAGGGCCAAAGAATTTTGACAAAATCGTTGCTTACCAAAAGCTGACTGTGCTTTTGAAGTTCTTGTGTGATCCATTTTTAAAGTCAGACACCTTCATTAATCCAACAGTAGCATAAGGTATTTAATAAGATGATATAACAGCCTTTTAAAAATATTTTAAAAGATCTTTCATAAGATTCCTTTCTATTTTGTTATAAAATTGTAAGTTAAAATGTTTTCAAGGATTTTTCTGAGTAAATAATCTGAGTCCCCTTAAACTTGCAGATCTAAATGCCTTGATGCATTTTTTTTTTTTTTTTAACATGACCACAGATGCACTAACGATGGTTCTGGTTAAATTCCTTTCAAACAGGATGAGGGGATGCAGTCTCTACTAATGTATAAATGGAAAAGCTGTTTAACCTTTATATTAGAATTTTAAAAAACCTATTAACTTTATATTTTATTTTCTTCCCTGTTATATAGACCCAAGAAGATAAAATATTATGGTATTATCAAAACACCAGGAGAAACACTAGAAAAATTTCTTAAGACCTCAAAGATTACCTTAAACTGATACAGGTTAAATGAGACACCAGGACTGCACTGCTGCTTCAAACTGCTACTCTATGAAAACCTCAAAATACTCACTAATATAGTAAGAAGTTCTGATATTCAATAAAATAAAGCAAAACCTGTTTAATGTAGCACAATAGACTTTTCCCAGAAAGCCTATACATATCACCCCCTTTTTTCCCCATGTAACTTGTAATGTCAAACACACTTTGACACAGGCACACATTTTTCTTTTTTTCCTCCCATTGCAATAACTAACACACATAGTGGAAATTCAATCAGAAGTTTTGTGATTGACCGAATCATAAAATGCATACGGCACACTCAAGGGTTATGTAGTTTGTGTCGTTTAATTTTTTGATATGAAACATTTCTATGTTCAGTTCCAAGAACTGCATTTACATTCACTGCAGAAAGGGAGTGCTCACTTCTGCGCCTTCAAGTATAGAGAGTTAGGGACACATACCTGGAGTGCAAACAGAAGCATCTTTGCAAAAGGTAAGAAACCTAACAAGCAATTATATTTTAACAAACACAGAATGTCATATACATTATTGCTTTATTTTCCTTGTCTCCATGCAGAATCTTTTGACCATGACCCGGCAGGATTCTGTTCCTAGACATCTACCGTTATTAGCATTTAATGCAAATCTTTCTCCACCAGTAGGTTGGCATGTAAAAGGGTACAATTCTTACAAACAATGATGTTGAGAAAAGCTGAGATATGAAAAGTAGGTAGATAGTACCAAAGCACAGGAGAACTCTAGCAAAGTGAACCTCTCAGACACAAGTGTTTGGTGCCGTGATTTTTGGTCATCCTACGTGATAGATGGCCCAGGATGACTGACGTACGCAGTCACAGTGGGATATTAGACCATAAAAAGACAAATAAATAAATTGTGCTATGAATTCTTTGCAGTGCTCTACAATTCAAATATCATTTATACATTCTTTATTGCTATTAAAAATGAGTGATTTGAAATAATCTTAGGAACTGTATGTAGTAATAGATTGCTGAGATGATGTATACAACAATTTCAAGCATTTATAAAGTGGATTGCCTAATGTATATGCATATCTCCATGACATGTTATAACACATGATAATTTATTAGGGAGATAGCGTCTTTTAAAAAAATCAATTGTATATAAATGCTCCCTGAATCTAAAGTGCTGGCAACTTCTGCCTAAAGGAAAATTCATTTTCCACCTTTTTAGTCAGTAATTTTTGAAAGGCATCAATTATAAAACCAAATTTTGGTCAGGAAATTGTTACTGACCACTTTTGCAAAAAGAAAATGCAAGGTAAAAAATATTACTGTTTTGCTGGTACAAGTTACCAATAAATTAGCTGCATATTGTTCACGAATTGATATTATTTGAATTGGTTCAATTTATGTCATTCACAAAGACTAACTGTACTGTCATTTTAGTCAACGTTCAGCAATACCAAAGAGCCAAAGCCACAGGTATGTTTGTAAGATAACCTGGGCCAGATGGCAGCAAGGGTAGATAGGCTGTTATTTGTAAAACACTCAAGTAAAGCAACTAATTACATTTTGTTTTTTTGTTCTCATGTTCCTCCTTCTTGGATAGTGGACTTGCTCCATTCATTGGTACACTTGTGGCATCTTCCTTGACTGAAGTCGGATCTGGAGTAACGGTCCTTTTGGTGAATGCTGGCAAGGTTAGAGGAAAGAGAAAAATAAAACAACATGAACATAAAACCTGGGCTAAAAATTAATTCTGTAGAAGGCAGTTGATTAATGGTATTCAATCAAACTTTCTGTCATTAAATTTAATGTCAGTTAACAGACCTGTAACATGATCTACATTTTCAGAAACCTAGTCACATGATTATAAAAACTTTTATTTTTTCATTTGAGAGTAGAAAATGTGTATTGGTCAGAATACAATGATATAAACACACACTGAATTTTAGAAGGAAAAGTCATTAAAAGGCTTCTTTTTGATGGTACCCTTGTATTACACTCTCTTGCCTAGTAGGAGCAGATCTGCAAGCTAGGTTTACTGTTTTTCTCTTACCTCTGAGCTCTCTCCTGAGCAGCATATGCCCACTGAAATCTTCTCTCCTGATCTCTACTTTTTGATGTCTGCTAATTCCTTACTCGTCTCCATTTTAGAAAATGACACACCCAGCCATAAGCTTCTCATACTTTCTTTCCTTTATGATAGTGGTGATGGAACCAGAGTTCACTGAGCAACATCCCCAATGGTGGTATTTTTTTTTTTAATTTTTAATTTTTTTTCCTTTTTCCTTTCTCTAAAACAGGGTTTCACTAAGCAGTTCAGGTTGGTCTTGAACCCACTATGTAGCCCAAATTGGTATCAAACTTGGGGTGATCCTCTTACCTTGGGTTCCCAAGTGCTGATATTATAGGTGTGCACTACTACCCCTGGCTTCTGGTTCTTTTTGTTTTGTTTTTCCTTTCCTTTGTTTTGTTTCTGAGACAGCCTCCTGCTAAATCACTCAACTGTCCAGGCTGGGGGCAAACTTGTCACTTTTTATGCCTCAGCATAAAAAGTGCTCAGCAAAAGTGCTGAGATTATAGGTGTGGGCCACCAAACCACACTTAGATAAGGTCCTCAAACTTTGGTCCTTTCCTTCCTTCGTCCTATCTGCTCCCTCCGTCTAAGAGTGAGTTCTGATGGTTCCACCTCCCGCTTCTCCCAAGGTCTTCTGCTTCACACCACCTCTATTGTCATCACTGTGGCCTTGGGCTGGGTCAGGATTTCCACTCTTCTGTGTGCATCTGTTCCTCATTGTCACTTTCCCGCAACCCAAAGGGATGATCTTCTAGAAAGTCAGCCAGACCAAGTCACCGTCCTGACTCCTCACACCCTCCAGAGAACTCAGAACTGAATCCAAACATCTGGCTGTGGCCGGAGCCTCACTCTCACTGTGTCCATCTCTCCAGCAGACTAGGACCTGTTGTTCTCTGGGATTTTTTTTTTTTTTTTGAAATTTTTTCTTTTTTGTCTTTTTCCTTTTTATTGGTACTGGGGATCGAACTCACAACTGCCTGCTTCCAAGGCAGGCGCTTAATGCCACTGAGCTAAACCTCCAGCCCCCGTTCTCTGGGATTTTGAGATTTCTGCTCCTAGCATCAGAGTGACTCTTCCCATGCAATTTTATCTCAGTTGCTTGCAAGTCAATCGCAGCCTCTTCCAAGCCACCTCAATCACTGGTGTGCAGTGTCCTGCTTCAGGTGTCATCCATCATTTCACCTCTACAGCATCAACTGCTGCTTTGAATTATCTGCTTGCTCACTCACTATGTTTTTCTCCATGAGATGAGATGATCTTGTCTGCCTCATTCACTTTCCACTCCAGAACCAATACAGAGCCTTGGGAACACTGTCTGGGTAAATACTGGCTTAATAGATGAATATACTTCAGAGATAGTCAAATGCAAATTATCTAGCTGTACACCAGAGTATCTATGGAGTGCTCTGTCCAATCACAATCAGAACTCAATTGTTTAAAGTATCTTATGTCTAATTGATAATTCAAAAATATCTGAAACATAGTTATATAAAATGAGCCTAGAGAGAAAGAGAGAGACAGAGACAGAAAGAGACAGGGAGAGAGAGACAGAGAGACAGAGACAGAGAGACTGAGAGAAAGACTGAGAGCGAGTGAGAGAGAGACAGAAAGAGAGAGAGAGAGCTTTCACTGAATAAACAATTTGTTAATGGGCAAGAAACCGATTGGTCAGTACCTCCCATATGTTGATTGCTATAAATTGTTGGCACTTTATCCCATAAGTATGAGGACAGCTCAGCTAAGAGGTGCCTATTCACAGCCAGGGAGACCTGAAACTGTAATCTATAACTGAACACAGTGTGCACTTACTGTTGCAGATAAATTATTTTTCATCCAACAGCTCTAAATACCCACTAATACCATCTCAAAATGAAAATGCTAACTTTTCTTTTTCACAGTAATGTAAACTGAGATAAAGTTAATTTTTAAAGGAACTTTCAACAATTTGGTTTTCTAGGAATATTAAGTTAAAGTAATGTATGATTCACTGCTAACTCCTTAATAATGATTGTTAGGTAACATTTTTGCCCCATGAAAAATCACAGGTCTTTCTTTTTGGGTTTACTACGCCCTTCAATAACTTACTTTTCAAGCAAGTTTAGATTTATAGAAACTTTTCAATCTACATGTTTAGAGATACTAATGCCACAGAAATGAAGCATTTTAGTCTCAAAGAATTGGAGATTTCTAGAAGTCCTCAGATTGCTGTAGACTTCCCTCATGTCTAGACTGGTTCCAGCCCCAAGAGTGAAGGCCCTGTCTTGGGGTTGTGTTCCTTTACTCTAAAAGGAGCTATACATGGAGACTAGTGGTCAGTCTGTACTTATAAAAAGTAAAAATGACAGTTTCAAAAGCTGACATTATGAGTCTCTTTCACTAAGCCCCCACTGTCTACAGACTGAAGGTAATGGAATTCAAGTCTTCTAAAAGAGTGTCCTGACTCATGGCCATAACTTTTAGCCAGCCAGGATAAATTTGGTAGTGATCATGGCTTTAAATAATGGATTTCTGTGTTCCTATTTCCAATGGTAATATAAACTCACAATTTATACATTTCTTCCCTTCATCCTGGCAGAAGGAATCTACCTTTTCATGAATTGACCTGAACTACACAAAGCTGACATAAATTACTTTTTAAAACAAACTTTCATTAATGCTGGATCATTTCAGAGACCACAAATTATGCAGTATTTTCCCATTTCCTTTGTTTTTTCCATGGTCAGTGACTCTATGCTTTAGTTTGGTCACAGGTTGACAGGGTCCCTAAGCCAGCAGAATGAATGCTTCAGTGTCTACAATGTAGACAAAAGAGCCTCACCCAGTACAAGTTCCAACCTGAGTAAGAAGGTGCCTGTTCTGTGGACCCAGAACTCATGCCTGCTTAAAATCTATGGCTGTCTACTCCCCAAAGTCTAGACAGGTCCAAGCAGCTGAAAACGCCAAAGCCCAGCTCTCATATTCCATTTACAAGTTGATAAGAATGTTGGAAGACGTAAATACCATTGTTTCTCAGTAGCACTTATCTGCAGAAGTTCATCTTTAGCTAAAGTGTGCACACACACACACATCAATCATACCAATAGGTTACACAGAAAAAGTGGACTGTTCACCTCGGGCCTGCTAATCCCACAGTCCAACTCCCCAGAGTCTACCACAATCAACAATTCACTTTTTTAGGCTTATTTTCTGTACTTGCTTCATTTCTGTAAAACAAGTAAACAAACAACACAACAAAAAACTATACTGCTATTTTTGGACTTATCATTTTTAGACACTCTTCACCTCCCTCCACTTTTCTTCCCTATCCTCCCAATATAGCTAACTGCATCTCACCTTTCAGTTATGTCAATATTGAGTGTTTATATTTTTATGACTATGTAAGTAAACATGGCTCATACAAACTTAATAGGTATACAGTTTATTAACTGCCACATGTTTTTCACTTTTTATTTGCTTTTCCTGGGTGGCTGTCTTGCTTCTAATAGCTCAATTAGATCTTCCATTGCATCTTTTTGTAGCTATTTTTCCCCTAAATGCTCAACTATATATCAAAGAAACTGTCAGTTCTCTTTGGTTCTTAAAGATGTTCTCAGTGGAATCTCTTTCTTCCTTCACTGCGGGAGATCACAGAAACATGAGGATTCACATTAAAGACCCACCCCACAAGTAGCCAGAACTGAATAAAGAAGGCAATACTAGTACATATTATGGTAAACTGACTTGAGTGAAAGAGTAGCATTTCTAATGGGCCAGGAGAAGAGGACAGTAGGATTGGGACGGGGAACAGATCTCTTAAAAAAAAGAATGCCTAATAATGTGATTTTTCAATAGCAATATTGGCTCTGAAGGAAATTCATTTACAACTCAGAATTATAGACTAGATATACAGAAAATGGAAGAAATCTATTTTCAGAAGCCAAAAACTTTTTTTTAACCTTCTTTTCTTTAATGTGCTCCCACCACAGAAACGAGTGGGAGAAACAAGACAGAGGGCAGAGGATCTGGGAAACCTGGGGATGAGCACAGGAAGAGGGCGAAGACCGACGCTAGGATGACACTTGAGGATTGGGCACTTGCTGCGATGAGGCCGTCTAGTCTGGCCACCGGCTGCCTTCCCCTCTCACATCTCTCATTAATCAAGCATCATCTCTCTTGAATTGCTTTTCTAAATGTCTTTTCTCTTCTATTGTTCATTTTTCGTTTACCCTCTTTGTGGTTTTAACTTTATTTTCCACATTTCTAGCTTTCTTTTGTCACTATGTCAATCATATTCTGTAAGATTCTTAGACCTCTTACCCTTGTGCTCTCCTTTTTTATAGTATCTAGCTCTTATTTTTTAATGAACCTAATTCTTTCTCTCATCTCTTCAAGGCGACCTCTACTTTTCTCTGTGTAATCTATTTGCTGTAGGTCCAGTTTTTTCTTTTTTGTCCTGACATTTCATTTTAATTTTGGAGGCTTAAAGGAAGATTAAAGGACAATTTCTATAAGCTGAATTTATTTCTGCTAGAAAAATAGAGAAGTACTTTGAGTGCCCCTAATTTTTCCCATATTTATTCAAGATTCTCTAGAAAATCAAATAAGAATAAATTATATCTAGACATTAGTTTAATTCAATTAGTTAATAATTAATGATGGGGTAGTTGTAATTAAATTTTGAAAATATTCTCAAAAATATGAGGATGGGAGGAAAATTTTAAAACAAACTTGTTAACAAGAAGAGTAAAATGTAAAACTGAATTCATAAATTAGATAACTGTTAAACTGAAAAAGCTAATTTTAAGCTAAATTTTCAGTTATTTTATGATATGCATAGTAACTAGTATTTTCTCATTCAAATTATATTATCAATATTTTCCTATTCTTATATAACTTTATGTCCTTTTAAGCTAGTATATTCATGTAGAAATAAATAAAATAAATTTGCCTGTGACAAATACATCTTAATTAGAAAATGACCAAAGTTGGTCACAAATCATAGAGTAAAAGAACTGAATAGCTTGTTTCATTGACTATTATAATAAATCTTGATGTTTTCCGCCTAACCACTTCCTCCTAGATGCCTTTTTAGGCAGCCTCGTGAAAGTCATAAAAGCAAAATGATAAGTCATAACAACAGTAGAACAATGATTTCCATGTTCATAACACAGATCTGTTCATTGTCAATTTCTTGAATGTCTTAATGGATGGCATTTTCCAACAGTTTGAGGGTGCTTAGTTCCAACCCCTCCTCTGTTTATTAAACAGACCTGGGGCAATCCTTCCACACTTTCAGATAAGGATATAAATACTTCAGATTGCAAGGTGCTATATCCCACTCGAAACATAATTCATACGGAACAGTCACTGCCAGATTGAAATAGCAAAGGGTTTTATACAAAAATCACCTGAAGAAATGATTAGGACAGGAAGGAGAAAGTGCCTAACCTTTGAAATAAAATGATCATATATAATGAAAATCAAAATATTTATCAGAAGTCAATAAATATATATTCGATGAATCTCTGAATATAAATTCACAAAACAGGAATTACCACCTTTGAATTTCCTTGTAACTTACTTTGATATATTATTTTTAGTAATTTAGATATTTTACATGACAGAATTATCTAATTTATTGCACAATGGGGCCAGGCCCATAATAAACTGAAGAACTAAATTTTATGTAAATAAGACTCCATTAAATAATATTTGACCCCCAATAATTTAGAAAAAAGTGAGCTAAACAAGCCAACACATACACTCATTCATCTAATATAACTGAATTTTAATCGGGCTTTTATATGTGCCAAGTACTATGTAGAATGTTAATGAATACTGGTGAACAAAACAGGCATTGCGCCTGTCTTCCTTAAGTTCATTTTTAAATTGAGGAAAGAATCAATAAACAAAAAGTCACTAGAATAACAACTATAAAATTATTATGTTGAGAAAGATCTTACAAGAAGATTGTAGCGTACAGTGGTTGATTAGAAACCACCTTTACAGGGCTGGGGATTTAGCTCAGCGGCATAAGCGCCTGCCTTGCAAGCAGGCAATTGTGAATTTGATCCCTGGTACCGATAAAAAAAAAAAAAAAAAAAAAAAAAACAAGACCTACATGTGTGTAGTACCTACTGTTTATATTCCTGATGTGGAGTTGGTACATGTATATAACACATCCCAATAACTAATGTTTTCATCTTGTGTCCCCCTTACTCCTTTCCTTGATTGTCTTCCATTATTTAGCTAAATTTTGGCAATGGTCTCTATGTCCATCAAGAGATCAATCAGTAAAGAAAATGTGGTTATTTATATACCGTGGAATACTACTGTATCATAAAGAAAAACTTGAGTCATTTGTAGGAAAGTGGATGCATCTTAGACCATAATGTTAAGTGAAATGTATCAGACACACAAGCTTAAATATCATATGGTTTGTCTTATATAAGAAAAGGGCTGGGATTTAGCTCAGTGGCATAAGTGCCTGCCTGGCAAGAATGAGGTTGTGAGTTCAATCCCCAGTAGCTCCCCCCCCATCCCCACTCCGTGAAAAAGAAACCCAGAATAAAAATAGAGAGCAAAATAAAAGACAGATAATAGGAAATAGGAAACTCATTCTCACCTTCTTTAAAGACATTACATACATGTTAAATCTTGAGGATCAGGCATAGTCTAGAAGAAGAGTAAAGGGCCGCATGGTGTCCAATGGCATCTGGGCCAGTGGACTGTGCCTCCTTAATGTTTGTAACATTTTATCAACATTCACAAAGTATTCACAGAACAACATCTAGCAGGTACTAGTACTACCATCCTTACTCTTTTCTACAAGGTTACATGTCTTTTTTTTTTTTTTTTACAGGTGTACGAAAACATTTTTCTTTTGTTGAGGACTTGAATTTTAACAAACTAAATAACTTCTTTTATCCACTCGTCCACAGTTAATAGCAATCTCCATTAAAAACTTCGCGTAATTACCATTTTTACCTTGCATGAAGTTTTCCTGAGAAATGTAAGGCCTAAAAAAGGATTTCATATGTATTTTTTTCACCAATCAGGTAATACTACAAATATGCTTAGGTGGGGATTAGTTTTACGATTCATAATAAAAATATTTGAAACTTAAAATACAAATATGATTATCATGTACTGGCCTAAATTTTTTCCCATGACGTGCACTTCCTTACACCCAATTTAAGAACTGGTAGGAGATTTTATTACTTACAGTTCAAGTGTGAAAATCGTGGACTAGACAGGAAACGACTGTGGTTCTGCCAAAAGGATGGGTGATCTAACCTGCGAGCGTGGGAACCTTGAGGGAAGGTTTTGTCATCCTAAAAAAAAGACAGCATGCATTTCAGAGTCATTGAATGAGAGTCATTCAAGTGTATTGAAGTTGAATCTGAACCTTAATATGCAAGCTAGATATTATTTGCACAACTTATTATAATTATAGTCCTTTAAAAAATAAAATGTGCATGTGAGAGAAGACACATTTTAAAAAAAGGAAAGAAGTCACTCATTGCTATGGCAGCATGACATATTTTTTTCCGGTCTTTTTTCCCCTGTGATTAGAATTTATAAACATGTTCTTAAAACGTTGTTCATCACATTTACATTATAAATAGCTTAGAAATAATGAAATTCTACCTGGTAGCTTATGGATTACTCACAATGCTATCCAGCAGATACACTATGCTGTACCTAGCCATTATTTTACTTGGCATTTAGGTTATTTCCAGGGTTTTACTCTATAAAGAAGTATGTTTAAATATATAAACCTTTCCATATTTAGGTCTATTCTTAATGATACATTCTTACATGGAAATACTGAGTCAATAAAAACAACCTCATGTTTTTAAACACATTTAACTGGGCAGTCTTCTATAATGATTGTATTACTCCTCTAACTCATTCAATAAATATTTAATAATGAATGAAAATGAGTATATAAAATATCACTCTCCTTACATATTATATAAATGCCTCTTTCTCCTCAAAACCTCTTCTGAAAATGCAGATTACAACCCTAATATTATTAATTAATAGATTAAAGCAGGTGATTTAACAAAAAGTAAAATTGTCTTATGAATGTTTTCTAATTATTTACTACAACTTTTTGTTTATTCATTCCATACCTTCTATGTGCTGAGCAAGGGATAAACAAGACCTCAGCATAGTCAAGAAACTTTCCAGGCTTACATAGAAGGTGTTAAACAAATATACCACATCAAACATGGTATTCTTAAAAGCTATCATGACTGCTATCAGAATGGTAAATAAGAAGAATCAAATTTAGATGGGAGGTCTGAGAAGACTTGCCAAAAGATAATATTTAAGGTAATACGTGAATGCTGAGTATAAGTCAATGAATTAAACTGGTGGCAACTTAAGGGTGGCAGGTAGAAAATTGGAAGGAGGACTGGGGAAGCAGGGAGTGATGTTGCAGTCTTAGCTAAGTGCTGAGACAGAAATGTTTGCTGCCTTCAAAAACTGAAGGAAGGCCTCAGTGTTAACTACACTGACCCTGGAAGAGGTGATTAGGTGAGGTGGGTAAAGGTGATGTTCAGGAGTTCAGATTTTATTTTTTTAAAGACAGCAGGCAATCAATGGTTTTAAGAAGAATGATTAACTTTGATTTATACTTTTCAGTGCAAATATTGATGATTATAGATGACAAGGTCAACTATGGGGTCTGAAGAGGGGGAGGCATCAACAATGTTACAACACCTCTGTGGGCCAGGCCTTAAGACAAAAGATAAAACAAATGCACCCACACACTTTCTCAGGATAAACTTCAGAGATTGACATTCTAAGTATGTATCACATTAAGGAAGCCAGAAGGAGCCACTAACCCAGCCTCTACAGGAGAAGCTCGTTCTATATTCACGTTCCCTTGCTAAACTCGCTTCCCCATTTGATCCCCACTTAATCAACTTTACCTGAGCAATTATACTCTAATCTTATTGGTTGACCATAGTTCTGTCACACCTAATGCCCACCTTGCGACTTCCCATTTTTCCCACCTTAGATCTGCCTCACCTAAAATTCCTAGAAAAGGCAGGGTCTTTGGCAACACACATGGGACCCCTTTTGTCTCTCTCTGACAGAAGCTTTACTTCAATATATATATGGCAATCTTTTGAATTAGTTGTCATTCTATGTACCAAGAATAAATTTTATATTTGTCGCATATGTTATATGTACCTGCAAAGAATGTCCAGAAAAAAAAGCCATACACACACAAGGCCAACTTACTCTAAGCAAAAAACATGTGCATAATCCTCATGTAGCTCAAAATCCTAATTTTCAGGTACCAAAAGAGAGTTTAGGCAAACAAATATACCTAACAGAGTCTTAAAACAAAGACACTGAGGTTTTTAATCAGGTGATTTTCTAGCTCTAACCCATTATGGGGATTTCATGACAACCTGGGAGCAATTTACCGTAAGATAGAAATGAGGTAAAGGATATATGTTGTGCTTTGAATGTATTCCAGCAACTATTAAAGAATGAACTCATATGAGGAAGTTCAAGTTCACGCGAGACAGCTATTAACACTGGCTCAGATGTGAAATATTGAAGGCCTGCATGGGGTGGGAAAATGCATAAATGGAAAGGAGGTAAGAGTCTTGTTATTGTTTGTAACTAGATGTTTCCCCAAAGCCTCTTGCAGTCAAAGGTGGGGCAGGCTTTTTGGAGGTGGCTGAATCTACAGTTTGTGATTGGTTCCAGGTCTAACGCTGGGAATAAAGGTTATGAGTGCTACACTGGCCCTAGAGCAGGCAGCCTGCATACAGTGAAAGGGACAGAAAGAGGCTCTCCTCTCTCCTTTCTCCCTTGCCTGCTTTTGCTGTCTTCCATCACCATGAACTGTGGTCCTCAGCCATGTGCCAACCTGCCTTGCAGCCACTGGATTATGAACTGAAGCCTCTACAAACTGTGATTCAAAATAAAACTTTCCTCCTTTAACCATGGATGTCAGGTATTTTGTCTCAGCAATGAGAGAAAAGTAACTAGGACAAGTCTCAACCTGCGTTAGAAACCCCACTGAATCATAGTGTAGATTTGAAGCACGAAAGATAAGAATGTGAATTGTTTCCTACTGAAAGATAATTTGATGATTAAGGGCCAATATAAGAAAAGAAACACAAATTTTGCTCACTGATCCTTGAACTGGGAATGTTAGTGAACAGTAAGAGTAGAGATGTAAATCTGCACATCATGTTAGAACACACAGTATAAAGACAACCTCAAAATGTGCCTGCTAATCACTGTGGAAATCAGTGTGGGGATTCCTCAAAAACTATGATTAGAGGTCCCATTTGGCACAGCTATTCCCTTCAAGATGTAAAGAGTTAAAAACAACATACCACAGCAATATATGTGCAACCATTTTTATAGAAACACAATTTGTAATAGCTAAATGTTGGAAACCACTCAAATGCTCATCAGTGAAGGAATGGACAAAAAAAGATGTGGTCTTTTTATACAATGGAGTACTACTCAGCCATAAAGAAGAATAAACTGGAGACTTTCATAGGTAAATGAATGCTACTTGAGATCATATTCATAAGTGAAATAAATCAGACTCACATGTGTAAACATCATATTGTCTCCCTAATGTGAGAAACTGAAAGAATAAGTAAAATTCAAAATGTACAACAGATACTGTGAAATAGGAGAAACTGTTCAAAAGGAAAGAGAAACTGGGAAAGGGAAAAGGAAAAAAAACAAGATAATTAAGATAGACATACTACTAGTTTCTCTTAATTCATTGAAAAGAAGTTTGCGCTAACATTGTTTGGACAATTTTTCATGCCTCTATCTTGTACTCTGATTAACTACTTTGAAGATAATAATATGCAATGCATTAACCACTGTTACTCTCCTATTATCTTGTTTTGAAACTTTTTTTTTCTGTTTAAAGTTTTTAAAAATGTGCCTGCTAGAGAAAGGATAAAAAGATATTTAAATACTTCTCATTGTTTCCAAAAAATGATTTTACATTTTAAAACAAAATCAGCTGGTATTGAAACATAGGTTATATACTTCTTGTATACAGAAAAAGAACAATTTATGTTGTTAATGATAAAACCAGTGTTATGGTTTGAAAACTGGTGGTCAACTTAACGCCAGCTGGATTACATCAGCATGCATTGAGAGAAGATGCTCCACCTGCAGAGGGTTGTCAGGATAAATAGGTGGAGAAGAAGAGCGGTGTTGAGCGGGATTGAGCCGTTAAGGAGGCATTGTGGGTTCTCCTACGAGTTGCTGCCTGAGCTGCTGGTTCTCCTGGAGAAGCTTTGGTCCTCAATCGAGCATTGCTTCTTGGCTCCGGAGGGGAAGACATGTGCTGCTTGGTCTCCAGGACGAACTCGTCACGCTGTTTCCTGGCACGTACCCGACTGTGCTCGTCATTGGAGGAGCTTGGGGCCTCCATGTTGCTGAGGACAGCTGGAGTGCCTTTTAGGATAGCCCTGGTCTTTGTTGTATGACTTCTTGGCTCCAGCATAGAACCCTCATCCCACTAGCACAGCTCCTTCATCCTGCTGGTATAGACTTTCTGGGTTCCACCGCTGACCCTTGGGTCTTCCTGGCACGGATCCGTAAAAGAGACTGGCGTGAGTCCTTCTTGTGGGCTCTGGACCTCCAGTTGGACTTGTAGAGGCATTGTCCTGAGCTCTGGGTTTTTATCTGGACCCATGTGGGACATTGTCATTGGGTTTAGGCTCTCGACTAAATAATCTATGTCTTTGGTGTTGCGGATAGACCTGCTGCATTTTCCCGTGTTAACTTCCGGTGATCATTATAAAAATATTATAAACTCCATGTCCTAATCCTAGTTGTTCTGTGTACAACCCCTGACTACAACAACCAGCTTTCTGGTATATGATGGTAAAAATATGGCACTGACACATTCCTAGTAGATTTCATTCCTAGTAAATTTGGAAAATACAAGAAAACATTAAGAAGGTAAATGATTCAACAAATTAAAAATACCTCACTAACCTAATTTAAGGTAGATTTCTATTTCTTATTTTAAATATCTTTTTATATTGAGGCCATTGTATGTTAAGTTTTCTTTCTTTTCTTCTCCTTTCCCCTTTCTTTCTTGCACTGGGGACTGAACCCAGGACATGGCACTACCGAGCATACCCTCTGTCCCTGAGTGACAGCCTCGGTCCTTCCTAGTTCTTTCAAATAACATTATATATGAGAATTTTCTCTGCAATCATTATCATAGTTATTGTAAATCATAGTTTGTACAATGTAGTAATCTATTTTTATAAATTCATGGTTGATTTCAGTTTTTTCTATAATCAGTACTCAT